GTCTTTAGCTACTACACATTTCCTTGTAACTTAGTTTTGATAATTAGGTGTTAGATCAGGATAACAACTTCTACCCGGTAAGTTTGAGTATTCTCGTTACCTGTTTGCGGGATAATGTATGGAAATTATTGGGATAAGATTCATATTTGTTGTTATGACACAACTTGTAAAAATACTCAGTGATACTACACAACAAAGTGTCTAAGAAGATACATATTTACTGTAAATGTTTTACTGACTTGGTATGTGTGTAATGTGTTCACAGTAAGGATTGGGATGATCAAAAAGTTAAGACAGCTATCAAGAAGCTTCTAGAATACTACAGCCAAACTCACTTAGAACGTATGCTGTGTCCATTTTCACAGGTACTGTATGGTAGTAGAAAATATGATGTATCGCAAGTTGTATTTGTAAGTTAAATTGGGTTATATTTTACGTGGATTGAAGTACTGTTATCTCAAACTTTTAACTTTTGGCAATTTTTGCCAAAACTTCTGCAACAAACTATTTTTTAAAAACAACAAAATTGTTACCCCATTTAGTGTAAAAAGGATAGCTGATAAGCAGGCAAAACTACACAATAATTGATTAAAGATGATGAAAGTTTAAAAAAAATTATTTAAACAAAGACTTATGTGTAGATGTACTCTGTTTGGGTGTTTTTCTATCTCTAAAACAATCAAACAGGAAGAGTGGGAAGGCAATTGTCTTTCTGAAGAAATTTGAAGTGCTTCACAGTAAAAAAAAACTTGAACATATTTAACCCTATAACTCCAAGGATTTGATTGTTTATTCACCCCTAGCCTCGTTGTAATTAAATCCCTGTAAGTTTTCATATCAAGATAACATTAACAGCTTCTACCTGATATGTTTGAGAATTCTCTTTACCTGTTTGCTGGATAGTATATGGGTATTATAGTGAGAAGTTACATGTTAATCAGTTCTTGAAGTTTTTTAGTGTTAAATTAACTTAGCATTGTTTTTTTACCAGGGTATGCTGTCACAGATATCTAGAGACCAATACCCTTGCCGTCTGTCATCAGAGAAAATTAAACTTTTTGCTGCATGGTATGAACATTCTCAGCTAAGCAAAGAACAAGAGCAAGATGGTTCATCTTCGCCTGGGAAGAAAATGCTAGCCACTCTACGTGGAAAGAAAATTGTTTTCAATTCCACTGTTGAAATTCCATTACTTAGGAAATGGTATGAAGAAAACCCCAAGCCAGATATTAAAGATCTGACAAGATATGCTGAAATCCTAAACAACTTGGACCAGCGCAAAACAAGAGAACAAGTTCTAGCTCGACATGTTAATACATGGTTTAAGAATGAAAGAGCACGACTCAGGAGGGAGGGACTTTTAGAAGACTTGTCAAGACCCTCCATGGTGGTAACTACTGGTACATAGTTAAACTTTTCAAGACATTTGTCTGAAGGATGCTTCCACATGAATCCTAGTTCATGAGTCTCAGTCACCCACCCCCAAATAGTTTTAAAATTGTTATATTTCGTTATTGATTTTGCCATTATTGCAATTGAATTGGTTTCTTTAACCTCTTGGACCTGATTTGTACCAAGACAAGCCACCAATCAATGACTTTAGGGTGTTAATTAGTTTCAATATGGTTGGCTGAGTTTCTGCACTCAGTAACGAGGAGAAACATGATTAATTTAACAAGAAGTTCTGGTATAAAATAGAAGGTAATTCCCACATTTTGCATTTTCTGTGACCCTGATCTTGTAGAGCTGTGGGGTAAATTTTGAGAAAGCTAAAAGTACTGGGAACTCCCGTGAAACTGAAATACATGTACGTCACTTAAATAACTATATCACAACTTGCTCTGTTTTCTGCACCTGTAGAGTAAGCATTATATTGTGTTGACAATAATAGTCACAGTTATAGCACATGTTACCCACTAACCTTTTGCAATTTTACTTTAATTTATAACAAAGTGACATCTGGGCATGGGAATGGGCCCTGTTATACAAGAACTTCTTTCTCGGCCAAAGAGCACAGAACTTAAAGTTGACTGATTATAGAAATTATGGGCAGGCCTTTTCAGCTTGTATTGATGCAAGTTTAAGTTCCAGGTCTATATGTTTATCCTGTTGAACACTCATTACCCTTTCTTTAGATTACAGTAATTACATAGTAATGTTTTTTATTGTTATGCTATAACTTTGAAGCACTTGATTTACCAGCAAGCAAAATGAACTTGTCTTCAGTAGGTTTTTTGACAGGCTTTCAACATTACCTCTTGATTTATTTTTATATTTTTATTGTAGATTGGTAAAAAAAAAATCCTTGCTTAGGAGGGTATTTATACTAGTCCCCTCCCCTCCTTAACCACAAATCAAGCATAGAGAGTACATTTTAAATAATTGAGAGAACGTTTGTAGTCTATTTTTCCAAGCCATAGACGTGGAAACAATTGATTTGAGTTCAGAAATTGGGATGATCCATTTGAATTAAAACATAAGTGAAACAAGAAAGGTCTCTGGCAGATACCACGTTCAAAGAGTTTAATATAATGAACTTTTGCTTCAGAGACAGCTCAAAACTAAAATACAACAACTACAGCAGTCACTTTTCATTTGTAGAAGATCATTGTCATCAATATACTTTGAGTAATTTTCTTTTCTTCAAGCTCTTTATTATGATTATCATAGCTTCAGTTCTAATTTTTAGTTGAATAGCTGTGTTTCCTGATTAATTTAATGCTCTTAGTATTTTGGAGGTGCTTACCATAAGCCAGAATTGATCACCCACACCAGATAAGTTAAAATGTAGATGGCTGTTTTGGAGAGGTTTCTGTAGCTGTTGTAAACCTTTTGTTGGAACTGTTGTTACAATTAAGGAAATTGCTGGTCAAGCTTAACAAGCCTTATCAAACACTTAATTCTCAGAGAAATATTCATTGTCATGGACTTGGAGGAAAAATCAAAATTAGAGAATCTTAACAGCCATTTCCTTTCATTTGTGGGGTGTTCTCATGAGGCAATCCTGACTACTGGTGAGCACCCTTAACCCATTTGCTCCCGAGATCTCATCAGTAATTCTCCTTACTCTACTATACAATTCTTATGATGTTAGTCTGGAGAATTTGGTATTGGATCATCTAATAATACCCTAATATGTTTCTCTATTCTCATCATTTTTCTGTTTGGTATTGTATTGATGTATGGTAGTAAGGAGAAATTCTGTCTTGGTCACTCATGGAAGTTAAAGGGTTAATATGGCATTGGTTCAACTCACGTATGTATTATCACACTATAATTATATAACCTTGATAGAAACTATTACTGTAAATAGTATTTAATGTGAAATAATATATTTATGCATGGTTAAATCAGACTCATGTATAGACATTTATGGGAGTTTGTCCAGACTGGATTTACTGCCTGAATTTCATCATTAATTTTGTCTACTGAGATCTGATTGGTGATTTTCCCTTCGACATTGTATGTGGGTCATTGTAGATAACAGATAACCATACATCAAATATCTCATCATAGCATTGTTGTCATCAGTGGTGGATCTGGGGGAGGGGCACGGGGGTCTAGGTCCTCCTCCCCCCCCCCCCACGTCTTTCCTTTTTAAAAGGTTAAAAAACTTGAAATATTGTTTATGTTCCGACTGTCTTTTGGGATAAGGTTGTATTATTTTACCCTGCGAAAGGCGACAGAGCGTTGAGCAGTTGATAATCTGCGTTTCGGTAGATTTAACTGTGACGTATTTCTAGTGTTGAGACCCGTTTCTGTCATAAAATAAACTGCAAAGATAGGGTGGTGCCTGCTTTGTTCTACGCTTATCAACAAGGCCCTTTATCGGTTGTAGGGATACAGGATATTTGGATAAAAAATTATGGGTATAAGGGATACTTAAAGCAAGAATTCAGAGCGAATGTCTAAGTTGACCGCATGAAAATCGAAGAAAGGGGCATGTGGTAGGAAAATTGAAATTCAAACTTTTCCTTGAGACAAACGCGTGACAAACGCTCGAGGACCTGAGTGTGACATATACATTAGTATCAGTTTTCTTCCTGTCTTCAGCGTCTTCGGCATAGAACTTTCTATGTACAGGTAAAAATGACTTAAATATCCCCTCTCAAGTCCGCAGTGAAGCTCAACTTCATTCTAGCCAGAACTTTCTGAAAGCTTAATGGTGTTCGAATGTGGGAAGGAAAGAATAGATGCATGCCGCTATCTTACGGAATGTGTTATCTAAACAATTTGGTTACACGAAACGGATGAGAGTTTGAAGCGAAAGCGGGGATAATAACTAATCTGCTGTCATCTACTTTGCAAGGTTAGCTTATTGTATTGGTGTTTATTGTAGTGGTGTCCTGATCGAATTCGGTGCCAACTGCAAGATTTGCCTGGATGGCAACGGCGCGCCTAACGACGATGTTTAACAAAAATTCAGTTTTCCCGGTTTTTCCGGGCAGAAATGAACAGCCTCAGACTAATTTCTCCAACCTAGAAAACAACGCTATTTCCAGTTATCATGATCTTAACCTGAACCAATTCTGAGTTATGCCGCTTGGGGAAAATGTTGCTTGAAAATTTGCTACGAAATGCCATATTTGAAATATTGGTGATTTTCAAAAACTTGCCGTGAACTCAAAATAAATCAAATAAAATGGTGTCGTTTTAGACTTAAACTGTAGCTCAGTACTTCCTTTAAAAATTGATCAAATTGATATAAGCTTTCTTTCTTTTGCGCTTTTTATGAGCAAAGTTCATTTGCCTCTACTCTCAGTTCAGTGATTTCCGCCAAGTGTACGGCTGTCGACACTCGTTTCAGTTTAAGAAGGCAACTTGAGCAAAAAAATTTTACCACGTTTCTTTAACGTATCTCTGACCGAAATGTTCGTCATTTTCTGGTCGATGTGCCACCTCTGATGCGGTCATAAAAAAAAGTCGGTCTTAACGGAATACGAGATACATCAAATGGAGATTTCCAGGATATCGAAGTGGAATGATATTGCTACAAACCACAGGGAGCCCAGACAAGCGACGAGTCTTGTTGTTTATTCGAAATATAAAGGATTGTATGGGAGAATTCTGAAGAGTCTTATCATCGTAAACTTATATCATGAAATGTCTGAGTTAAAACCTCTATACGTGTAGTAACAGTCGACGCAAAACCCACCAAATCGCTCAAATTCGCCGTTTAGAGCCACGGAAACGACAATACACAGCAAGTGAGGTAGGTTTACATTTATTTTGAGCTTTAACT